GATTCAGATTTGGTCGAACGTATGGTTAGGGAGGATTACAGCAACTGATGAGCATGTCACTAGAGAAATGGGTAGAAGTTACCTATTATTTAACAAGAGAAAATGCATGGTTTACGTCTGATTGCATCTTTCGCCACATAAAAACCCACCATCATGGAACCACTAACTGTTCCTCAGATACTAATTATTCCCTTCGCTCATATCTCTCTCCTTGTACACCATCTGGTAGAACGAGACGCAATCACATTAAAATCCATGCATGCAAGCAAAAGTATAAAAGTTCTGTAATGCATAACCTAGCAAATATGCTCTGTGACGAACAGGTCGTTAGAGATATCTAAGTCAGTGCCCTGCATTCTTGATGTGTATTTAATTTGGAAAGTTGTGCAGTCTTTAAGATTCTTTAGACATTTTCCCTTTCTATTTTGTTTTTGTTTATTGTAAAAAAAACGTATCGAAAAACCTTGTGCTGAGAATTCTATTTTGTACCAAAGTATAATATTGAATAAAGCTATTGATAATATCACAGGTTGAAATCATGAGTCAGTTGAAGTTAGACCACCATTGAAAACCTGGATGCACTGGACGGCCGTTTCGTCCTGGTAAGGGACTCCTCGGCAGTGCGCATCCACGATCCCGCACCACGCAGGGCCCGAACCGAGGACCTACTGGCTTCGCGCGCGAGCACTTAACCACTAGACCACTGAGCCGGCATCCAACGGTGTTAATGTCTAACTTCAACCAATCCACGAAGCTGCGCCACCGTACACCATTGTCTTCAGTGAATTGTTATCTCACAACAGACCTACATTTGGAGTAATCAGCGAGGCTACCAGACAAGTCAAGAATGGGAAACCATCGAGACAGTATGCTAGCCGAAGGACTAAAATCAAGTACATAAGTAACTTTGAAGATGTACCATATTGCGTTTAAAGAGATTTCGAGGAGGAGTAGGTACCGACAGACTAGAAAAAGGAGTATCTAATCAAGATGCAAAAAGAGATTTTAGCAAGCGTGGGAACTACAGGGGCATCACACCAATATCGGTACCATGAAATGTTTGTTATTAAGCCGAATGAAAGGCTCAGTAGATGCTCAACATAGACATCAGCAGGTTGGATTCCTTGAGGATCGATCGTGATTATTTTAACTGTGGGGAATTCCACACCTTGGAAGAGGCGCAAAGTGCAGTTGACATCTTGAACTTTGAATTTAAGAACAACTTAACCCATCTATAACATATTATGATGATTCAGTCAGTCAGCTACAAAGTAGGATCATGCACATATGTACATGGGTTCAAGTTGTCATACTTCATTAGCACAACGAGTTGAACACAGAATTCACAGAACTAATTAATTCAATAGTGGTAATATGTAAAAGAAGGATTGTGTATAAGGTTTAGTGGAGCCCTTTATTTTGTCGTCATTTAGATCGAACGATGTTAGGCGACGTGCCCTCCACTCTAGTGGCCCGTGATTTGTCTCCAAATGGATCGTATGAGTGGTCATTATTGAAATATATCCTCGTATAGAGTCATCGACTTAAATCGCGTTAGTCAATGACGGAGTTAAATAAGTCAAATACGAGGATGGACTACTGAATACATATATTTTGTATATTAAGCGAATGGAATAGAACGAAGCGAAATGACGCGCAGTGTAGAAGACATATGAGCCAACTCCATTTAACCAAGCGAGAGAAGTGGCAGCCAAGGCGATAGTCAGAATTTCTAACACTGGAGTTAAAATAGTTTTGTTGCATGAAACTGAAACGTAGAAGACTGTCATTAACATAAGAAGAAAACACTTGCGTTCACAAACAGCTTTTACTCAGAATACATCAAATTTACTGTCTGACTGAGACTAAGGACAAACAAGCTGGTGTTTGGAGGAGTAAGCTTTAAAATACTCTGGACGTGGATCAAACACCAAATGGAAACCACTGAATGTTTAAAACGAAGATAAAAAGACAGACAGAAGAACAAGTTGTGGTGAAACTTGGTGCAAGACATCAATGGAATGAGTAGCACTCGGGAACAACTGGTAATGACAGTCCAAGACAGAGCTGGTTGGGGATTCCTAATTGATGGCCCATGAATCATGAGGGATAACGGGCTCTGATAGTTTTATATTATTAGCTCCCAGAAATTTCTATACGTTTCAGAGTATTTCATTAGGGCTAAGTGATATGGGAGAACTGAAGACATTTGGCTGATTAAAACATTTATATTAAATACTATTAATTTCACTACGTTTATGGGTGTGTCTGTTTTACCCAACTTCTGAATTTGTCTGTCTATATCATTAATTTCTAACATTTCCGTATCTTTTGTCTTTGTTTTGGCATTTGGGAGTTTTTGCTCCGGGAACCTACAAAATTTTAGAAAGACATTTGGGTCGACTATTTGTAAATTGCGAATAATCTTTGGTACATAGATTGGAGTTTGGTTTTAGTGTTAATTTGGGTCCGTAACTTGCAAATAGATCGATAAACCATACTTCAATAACGGGAACGAGCAAAAACGTGGACGCAACACTAAGCCTCTTGGTCAGCCGTTACTGTGATAGGTGTGGCAGTCCAAAATGAAGGATTTAGTTACACTTTTTTTGGTTCTGTCAGTGGAAACCATTTAGATTTCCTTACGCGCGTAAGGAAGTAATTGAAGCCATCATGATCCGGGAGAAAGTTTTACGACATCCGCAAGAACGTAGTTAGGAGGACAACCAAATGTAAGAAAACTCCGATGATTGGATCTGCAGGGCCACTTACGTTTGCATGTTGGAAGGCCTAACATTCACCAGTTCAGTTTCGTACATCCGCAAAATTATGGCTTAGATCGGTATTGGGACACTCATCTATGCTACTAGAATAATAGATTTAATCCCAGAATTATAGATTTGCCGTGTTGTGACTACCTAACCTGTGTTAGGTTACATGGAAGTCACACCATAGTCCACACTGACGCAACCTATCGCGACAGTCAGTAAAATGACGTTTAGAGCTTCTGAAGAATACACTTGAGCTGAGAATAGAATCGTATATCCGGTATGAAAAAGATGTCACACGCCTGCATGGGCGAGTCATGCCATACGGACCAATTGTTCTCATGTTCACCATTTTCGACCTTCTCTAAGTGTTAAGTGTTGGATACAAATTGTCTCAGTTACCACTGCACATCCTTATGGAAATCAGCCATCTACATTTATTATTTAGTAACGGAACCGAGGTTTTATTCCTAGGATGAAAGGCTGAAAAAATTGTCAAACACTATTTTCTATTAGTTCTAAGGTTGAGGGATCGGTTTTTCGATATTTATTGAAATTTAGGCAGTTGGCTCTGTCAAACTTTCGATGCTCACGGTAAGTGACTAGGTCACTCAGTGATTTTACACTTGTAAGCGATGCATTGAACGCTATCCTTAATATGATCTACAATACGCGGTAAATGAGGTGGTAAGGAGGTGTTCGCAATATGAGAGAGCTTCTATGCATCACACATACTGTTGTCTCTTGGATTTCGTAAGGATTGCTCTGTTTACCCATCACGTGTCTCGCCTCGGGATAATCTTTGGCTTCTCTGACTGTTTATTATGGATTGATGTTTCATTGTTTTATATATTACGATTAAAGTTATCGTGAAAGTGTAGAAGTCCTATGTTTGAAGTAAAGGTTTGACGGTTATCCAGCTGCAGCGATAAAATAAATGAAAATTTTTTCTGTTTTCTGACCATGACATTCACGACATGAAGTCGGGGGCAATTATAATGGATTAGCCTTGATCGAGCACATAAAATTTCATAATTTAGCCGATGAAAATAGAGAATATACCGCTAACACTACACACGGAGGTAAATGACCTTGAAATCCAAATCAGATGTCTCCATGCCAGTAGCAGTTAATAGAAGATTCTTAGCTACCTTTCTTTGGCTGTCACAACCTTTGCTATAGGAGGCTGGACACGCGTTACACTTTTGAAGGTAGTGAAAGAGAACATTGTGGGTTATGTTCATCGGTCAATATTTCGATACTACCACATATGTTTCCCTTAGTGGGTGCTATCAAATATCTGGAGCTATCATTTAACACTGTAGTAGGACCACAAATAAAGCAACTTGTTTACACGGTCAGATCACAAAGGTAACGTAAGTAAAGTTTCTGAAAAACTGAAGTCAGAAGTTTACCCACGATAGAAACAAATGGTTCCCAACTTCTGCCAGAAGCATTAGGAATTTTGTAGTTGAACTTAAAGATGCCACAAGTTATCGGAGTTTGACAATGCCTTAATCAGTAACATCTTTTATAATCGAAATATGCCAACTCAGTCAAATCAGGAGCGAAGAGGTTCGAAGATGTATTTGATAGGCTATCGATATATCGAGAAGTGATCAATCTAAGCTGACTAGTGGTTGTGAAGCACGGTGTATCCACTCGTGGTCTGGTGCGGATGCATGACCGAGCACCTTCAACTAAGTGAGTATAATAAAATCAGTGGGGTTAGCATCAAATATCAAAGACTTACAGAGCTATTTATTTCGGGGATTTATTTGCCGCTACAAACTAACCAACGCATAATTGCCCAGAAATTCAGCTATCCCATATTTCAGAGATAACCCAAGTGCAAGTTATCATATAACGTCATGAAGCGATTAGCAGTTAGAATGTTTACTTTATTTTCATTGACAGATTATTTATGAACTTCATTAGGAATTTGACGATGTCGCATATTAGTAGATTGGGTTCTCTTTTGTCACAAGTCAAAACGCTATTCGTGTTACCTTCAAAATATGGAAAACTTCGAACTCATATTACAAAACCACATTGCAAAGATGTTAGCAAGATAATATAAATCATAAAGATTTCTACCCTTCCTAGTGAAAACTGATCGCTTTTGTAACCATAAGTCAAGCGCAAGGTTGGAAAGTTCGCGAAACAGCGGGTCATTACCTCTCCTTCAACTAAATGTTCTTCACTTGACTTGTCTTGCCCTCTTACAGCAAAATGCTGTCTCACAAAGTGTCTACAAAATGTATTCGAGAATTCTGCCAGGTTACCGGTAGGTCATTGTAACAGTGCTTTATGTTTTTCAGGGTCTGACGAAGAAACTGCTCGTTCATTCTTGTCAGCTTGTAATAATAATTTGGAATTGGCTGTTAGTCTTTACATGGATGATCCAAGTAGGGTTCCTCCTCAGAGTTCAACGGAGGAATACCGGACTCCTATTCCTCAAAGAAACGAACAGCTACTCCCCGTTGTTGTACCACTTCGTAAGTTGATCAACTTGTTTGTGAATATTTATTCTACTGTAACTTAATTTAAATGGTAGTGTGTTTTACCTCCTGTGGTGTTGTACAAGTGTTAGGGCGTGAGCATTTTGCTGGAAAAATAACTTTGCTTTGTGTTTGTGGTCTGATCTGTAAATGTCTCAAGATCTGACAGCTGTGGTAATATGGTGAATTATTAAGTACATTTTAGTTTCAGTACACATGAATCGTATCTCGGTTTTGACGTTCGTATTGCACCGCCAGTCTTTTTTCTTTAGTAACAGTGCTTTCCAACATGTAACACGGCGATAAGCGTGTGTACGTGTTTGTCCAACATCTCATCCAAAACTTTCATAACTATTTTCAGTTTTTGCCATCGTCTGTGTTTGCTTAACGTTGATTAGCTTAGGAATGTTGGTGTCCTCTGTAAGAGTTAGTGGTACGCTCCAAATCCTGTCCTAAATCTATCACTTGTTAGCTAAAATGACATAAGACTATTACCTTTTTTCCACGTGTATGATCCTTTCGTTTGAGTATCGTTTACATATTTAAGGTTACTGCTTTCGAACTGAAAATTTTCACTGAATTTACTTGACTTGTTATTTAATATTACTTTTAACAACAATTTAGATCTTCAGTTTAATGAATAGATAATGCTAAAGTCATCAATGTTTATTTTTTAAACCAACGGTAGTCCGTCTGTTGTAATGTCAACTTTCCAAATTTACTCTGGTAATCACATAATGTTTAGGCAAACGGATAACGAATTAAAAGCATTGACACTGACAGTTGACATCTACCAAGCAATATGGATCTCCCTACAAGGCTTGGTGGAGCAATTTGTCATTTCATAAACGGATGTCATATTTTGATCTGATTGTCCCATCTTTTTCAATGAAGACCACCGTAACGCTGGGACAGGCTGTACAATGACAAAACCTTTCGTTACTCCTAGACAGACACTGGCGTGTGACTAGTCGATGTCCTGAATTCAGACATCCGCGATCGTGTTTAAATACCAGGACGTAGAGAGTATCTAATTTATTTCACTAGCAGCCCTCAAGATTTTAATTCTCTTGGTTGTGATGTCTTTTTACTTTACTGCTTTTATTCATTATACTCCTCCTTATAGGCTTCTTTCTGTGATCAATTGACCATGTTAATGAAGCAGTTAGCAATCCATATACCTTTGATTTCCATGAGAGATGTACTCAAACTTACGGTTTAAGATAACTAACTACTTAGTAAGTAGAAAACAAGTCATATTTTGCATTTCCTTCTGAAAAAAATAATACATCTGCTCATGACACAGTACTGCTATCCTTTTCGACGATTTATAACAAATGACTAAGTAAGGTATCTGAACATTTGAGTTGCTTAAAAAAGTCATAAATTGCATTCAAATTAATATGTTCAAATTATTGTGGCTTGTTGTGTTTTCTGTATATGTATGTATCAAATGCTCTTGTAAAATTGAGTTTGTATTTGGTATTTAGTAAAAGTCTTGATTCATGTGCTGGAACTTTGAAGGTCCACTTAGGACTATAAATAATATTCTGTCCCGACTGTTACTGCCACCTTGTAGTGGTGGTCAAACTTGTCAATCATGACGAACCAGTCGAGTTATACTGACTTGAATAAGCGTTCCTCAAGGTCCTACCATGTCAGACAGGTTGGTTGGAGAGAGGTAAGACCAAAAGCAGCAAACCCAAGGTTCGAGGGCGAAGTCATACTACTGACTGTACAGAGGTGTGACAGCAGTAAGGTGTTTCCTTCAGGCAACCAGCATAACAGCGATGCTGCCTTCCCACAAGGAGGGGTGGGGTTAGAAAGGGTCGACCCTAGAAATGCACACCTCGCCTTATCCCACAGATGTCCGTTTCCTGCGGTAAGGTCTCAACAAGTACGGAGCTAACACGAAAATTACTCACAAAAAGGTCGTATGTTATCGCCCTCAAGCAGTTGTCCCTTGGGCACCGCGGTCACGCTCTCAAGTTACTAAGATCACCTCCTTTTCAGGTACCTCCAAGAGAATTCACTTGACGTCACGGGGAGCCAATCAGATGGCTAGTTCTCGTGGACTAGCAGGTGTAGACATAGCACTAAGTACGAGGTCAGAACAGGTATTATTAGAGTGGATCCCTTTTAACAGTCGCCTATGTACTGTCCGGCTACACAGTTCCGTAAGAACTCGGAAGGATAGAGACTCACGTCGTTGCTTTTCGTAATTTCTGCTCACGCTCCCTCTGACTGCAACCTGGATAAAGTGAATGGTGAATTTTACAAAAAGCTTTCTGAACTTCAAAAAGCTAAACACTCAGGTATACTACTCATGGCAGGGGAATTTAATGCACAAGTAGGTAGCTTAAATCAAACAGAAAGACATCTAAGTGGATATTTTAGTATTCCGGCTCAGCGAACAGATAATGATGATTGTCTGCTGCAACTGTGCTCAGACAATCGTCTATTTTTAGCAAACACTAATTTTAAGCATAAGGAGAGAAATCGTCTAACATGGCGACACCCTGTACCAAACTAACGATGGACTCAGACTATCTTGTCATCAGTTATCGTTGGAGGGCTCTATAGAAGACTACCGATGGTTCTGGAGTACATGTTTAGATTCTGGTCATGCTTTAATACGAGCATGCATTTGCTTGCATCTCACTGGACACAGAAAAACCACGTTAAGAAGATCCATTAGAGTTGAACTCAGTGACGAAAAAGCCAAAAGTAGATTCTAGGAACGACTAATAAAAGAATCTGGAAATAAAAACTCAAGTGTAAGTGAAACTATTTCGAAAGAAGGCTGCACTTGTATCTGCTCCCAGTCCAGACGTTTAGAACGATGGGCGGAACACTTTAAGCAGCAGTTCAGCTGGCATTCATCTACTTTACAACTACCCACCATTCTCAAACAGCCTGAATGAAACATTCAAATTAGTTCCAACGACTCTAATTGAAGTTCAGAAAGCTATAGCTAATCTGAAAAGAGGAAGAGCAGCTGGTTCAGATAGATTGGCTGCGGAAATCTTCAAGGATGGTGGTCCAGTTTTAGCGGTTAGGTTGACTAATACTTTAGCTAAAGTCGGGAAACTAGATGTTATCGACTGCATCTCTGTGCTAATGTGGTATGGCAACTCGAACTGATGTAAGTACGTACGAAGTTCTACGTTGTTACTGACTGACTGGTCGCAATCACTGGCTGTCCCAACATATAAGAAAAGATCAAAATCATCCTGTGATAACCATAGAGGGATTAGTCTAACTAATGTAGCATCTAAAGCACTAGCCTCAATAATTATTGGATGCCTAACAAAGACTCATGAGTTGCAAACATGAGAAAATCAGGCTTGTTTCAGACTTGATCATCGCTACATCGACCACATATTCACCATTCGTGAGATCTTAGAACACAAAAATGTTTATCGGCGTCCGACGGTGATATTTTTTCTTGACTTAAAAGCAGCATTAGACCGAGAGGTTCTCTGGCAGTGTCTGTCATTGAAATTTGTACCTCAGAAGTACATAAACCTTGTGAAGGCTCTTTACTCGATCACTACCAGTCGAGTCAGAGCTTATGGCGAACTGTTATCTGATTTTGTAGCCTCAAATGATGTCTGACAAGGCTGTTCACTGGAAATAACGTTCTCGTCGACTGAATTTTCGGTAATCGATCTATCAGGAGGTCCTTTTATCGACATAGAATACGCAGATGACATAGTCCTGTTTGGTGAAGACGCTGATAATATGCAGAGTCTTCTGGTAGCACTGAGCAACAATGCCAGAATGCTTGGGATGCGCTCCTCCCCTTCTAAATGCAAGTTGTTGCTTCAGGACAAACCTGCGTCAACACCTGAACTAAGAATAGGGAGTGAAGTAGTCGGACGCGTTGACAACTTCACTTATCTTGGAAGTCTGATCAGCCCTAACGGTTTGGTGTCTGACGAGATTTCTGCATGGATTCAGAAAGCTCGTTTGGCTTTTGCCAACTTACGTCACCTATGGCGAAGATGAAATATTCGTCTATCAATTAAGGGACGAGTATACTGTACAGCGATTCGTCTTGTTATACTTTACAGCAGCGAAACGTGGCCATTAGGAGTAGATGCTCGTAAGTTACTAGTATTTGACCACAGATGCCTTAGAAATATTGCTTACATATTCTGGGATCACCGGGTAAGTAATAGTGAGGTTAGACTCAGGGTTTTAGGGAATGATGGTAAATCAGTTGATGAAGTTGCGAATCTTCATCGACTGAGGTGATTGGGCCACGTGTTACGTATGCCTGAACACCGATTACCACGACGTGCAATGCTAGCCGGTGTTGGAAATGGTTGGAAGAAAGTTAGGGGTGGCCAAACCAAAACGTGGCATCCTTATATCCAATCTTTATTTTATATATTACCACTATTGAATTAACTACTATGAATTCGGTGTCCATCTTGCTGTGCTAATGCGGTATGTTAACTTGGATCGCTGTATGTATGTGTCTGGTCCTACGTTGTAGCTGACTGACTCACTGACTGATAATATTCTGTCGACTTTACTGTAGTTATACTTATTTATTCTAGAGTAGACACATATCAAGTCTAAGAAATAGTTTTCAATTGATATTGTTTAAATTTTATGTTCAGTTTTTTGCTTTGTGAGGCTTTAGTTGTCATAAAGCTTGTATCTTTATTTGAATTTCTAGTTCCTGTTCACCTGCAAAACTCACCTCTCATCCAAACACGTCGACGCGCGTTCGTTGCTGAGGATTCGGACGATAATTCAGATGATGATACGGTAACCAGTGGTGCAAGGTGCCAGCCGTTTGAAAAGTCACAGTTAGCTTCGAAATCAGTATGTTCATGTTAATTATGCAATCTTTGGTTAGGCATTGTTTTGACTAACATCTGATAGTATTTAGTTGTATAGATCATGTTTTCGTGCATATAAATGTTTTACGTATCTGAATGACCTAGTTATTCCATCATATTGATCGCTTTATTTTTTATAAGCTGAAATTTGTTTGCACTTAACAAGCATGAGGTACCACACTGGGGCTAGTTTTGCATAAACCTACTTTTAAAGTAGGATATGTGGTAGTTGTTTCGGGCAATCAGTTCACCTATCAAAAAAGTTACATCAGCCATAGTTCGTTGCTCTATAACACTTACTAATCAAGTTATTTCACGGACTAATGGGATGATTATACGGTCAACATTTCCTTTCTTTTGTTCTTGTGGTGAAGAAAGATGTTAACAATGGACGTCTTAGGGTTACATTAATTTTCTAAATGTTTTTTGCACACAATAACTCCATCATAAGCAATGTCAAACTCGATAAAAATTTGCATTGGGCAAATATAGTCTGTTCTCTCTGATCCAATCACTTGTATTGCGGTTATAGGTTCACATTAGATTGATGCTCGACAGATTTTTCTGTTTATGGCCCAAATACAGGAACTCTTGATCAACGGAGTCAAATAAAACCTTTAAGTCGAAAAATAGGACTAATCTTTCATTAGTATGTGTTTCAGAACCCCGTGCAATGTAAAGATTGTGCGTATATATATATATATATATATATATATATATATATATATATATATATATATATATATATATATATATATATATATATATATATATATATATATATAGTGTCTAGGTCTGAAACTAGGCTGGTTATCTCTGGTTTGTCGTCCTCATGATTCAGGTAGGCGCGTGATAATAATCTTGTTCGGAATCCATCTATATAATTTCTTAGCACCAATTAATTTAGCCGTAGTTTCATTTATCCACTATCCCTTAATAGCGTTTTCAATTAAGTTGCTAGTAGACATTACTGTTTGCTCTGAAATATGACTATTGACCATACAAGTTCGTCTCAAGATGAACATCTTGATTGTTGATTAAGTGCTTAACTGACTATCTCTTAAATATATACTTGATATTTTATTCGAGCCGGTCTCTAAGAGTTCTTACTGAGGTTCACCAACATTGTTTTATGATTCCTATTAATGATCACTATTATATCTTTTAAGTCAAAACTAATTGTTTGCCTGACATTTTTCAAATAAAATCCATAATCAGCCACGTGTAACGCTCACTCTAGAAGAATTTCATTTAAATGATAGGAGAGTCTCTTTAATTTTCATCCTATAATTTAAATTCCTGCTGTATTAGAATATATCCACAAAGTTTTATGCGTCACTTGTAATATTTGCCTTCACTTTGTGTATCATTGTCTGAACAAATTAGAACTTTGTGAATTCATTGTCTTTGTCACTGAAGCTACAGGTAAATTTATTCCAAGCCCTGTAGACTGAGCCACAGAATTAGTTGCACAAATAATATTCCTTTTTAAACTATTTTCATCACATCTGTTTGTTTTAAGGATCATTCAATTAAACAACGGTGTTCAAACGATAATGGATCTGATTTGACTTTACTAAATACTGATGGCACTAGCTCTGGTTCTTCTTCACTTTCTTCGGGGCATATTAATGGAACTAAAGATGGTGTTAAAAGAAAAAGAAAGCATTTGCAACAACTGTACCAACCTCCAGTTGAGATATTGTTTGATGGGACAGTACAAGCTGTAAGTGTAAGAGTAATTGTTTTTAATTGAGATCATGAATTGATCGACGTTAGACCACCATTGGAAACCTGGAAGCACTGGACGACCCCTTTGTCCTAGTATGGGACTCCTCAGCAGTGCGTATCCACGATCCCTCACGTGGGACTCGAACTCAAGATTTTCGGTCTCGCGCGCGAACACTTAACCTCTAGACTATTGAGCTGGCATCCAACGGTGTTAATGTCTAACTCTAGCAAATCCACGAAATTGATAACCAAAGCACATTAATTGCGTGTATTAGCATGTCACAATACTTGATTGCAAGCTAACCATCTATCAAACTAATTCTACTGAATAATTTGGAGTTCATAAATCAATATTGTTTGTCTGATACAGTCACCAAAATTTCGTTTAAATAGATTTTAGGAGGAAAAGACTATTAGCCAACTGATGGAATATATTTTAGGGAATTAAAACTACCATGAAAAGCTACTTAATTAAGATTGAATGTTTATGAGTTACTTACCAAATAATATGTGAGTAGTGATAAAAATAAAAGTCAAAAAATGACCATTAAGACTTCATTCTTTTTTATCTTATCAAAAACTCAAGTATTTAGAATACTGATTAGTGACGAAATTTCAATGGTGCTGTGTTTGACTTCATAAATATTTGTCAAACCATCAAAAATAAGTTGAAATAGGGGTCAGTTTAGCCAAATGTCTAATTATTGTCTATAGAGAAAATAAAGAATAGGCGTTATCAGCTAATGTAACCTATTTACCAAGTACATGTTTACATACTCGACTGAGCTATACTGTCTGTAACGTGACTAGTAATACTACTTGACTTTCTAAACCGAAATAGGTGAAATATGCTTCAAACTTAAGAACAGTGGAGCTGTATATTTCAACCATCAAGTCACCGCTCTACTTATTTGTGTATGATACATAACCTTATGTCTTCCATCCTATCAAACTCACGTTTTTTTCCATTTTAAAACAGGCTGAACTTGCTGCACAAGAAAAAAATCAATGGTTACTTGTCAGTATACACGATGAAGGATGCTTTGAGTGTCATCTGCTAAATCGTGATGTTTGGAAAGATCCGAAAATCTACCAACTTATTAAACGCCATTGTACTTTTGTACAAGTAAGTATAAAATATATGCCCATATAATATAGATTATAGAATACTGTTTGTAGGAATGTATGCCATTTATTTTCTTCCTGTACACAAATGTTGTAACAACTATTTGTTTTAATCTGACTGCTAGGTAACCGCTTGCCTTAAAGTATTTTATTGATCAGTCAGTTTATCACAGAAGGAAGGAAAGCAGAGGTGATTCGTATATACTTAGTACAAGCTTGTTATTTTGTTTATTTAATACACAAATTGTGGTACGATTAAGCAACAATAATACTGTGCACCACACAAAACAAGGAGATATTTTAAAGAAATAAGATAGGAAAAGAATGCCTAATCAAAATAAGTGGATAAATAAGTGATTAAGAATAGTGTAGGATATAACATTAGAAAATACAATCAGGAAATATTCCTTTCACTTGAGAAAGCTCATCTCATTTTCATGAAGGATCTAAAAACTTTTATCAGGATCTCCATTAGTTCCTATTTTGAGTTATGTCTGGTAACGTACCAGGACAATGATTTGCACCATCTCCAGGACCCCAACTGGAAGGTTCTTGATGGGCCGACAGTAACCAGTTCTATGTAATTTTTTTCATACCACAGAGTCATATCCTAAGCTGACTAACACCCCGCTTTTTCTACTCAGCCTCGGCTTCTGTAGACGATACGCGATTTGAAAGTCTCTGTGGTGACATTTCCAAAACATAACCAAACCACCAAAGCCGACGTTTCGAAATGGTGACGCTAATTGCATTGTCATCACGGCACTTAAATGCGCATTTCTGAACTTCAATATTATTAACACGATATTGATACCGGATCCAAACTATCACTTGCAGACCGTAATAGTCAAGCACAGAGTCCTCGGTAAGACTATAATTTATGGACGACCTTTGAGCGATGTTAAATTGGCCTCGAGAATGTCCACTTATTTGCTAGAGCTAAATAAGAGTTATAAACCTGTGTGAAGAGTAAGGATTTTGATTCACAGTTGATGGTTAGGGTCAGGAATCAAATTTACAGTTTTCGTCACAAACTGACATCAGTTATAATGCCAAAACTTTATTTATCCAAATAGTTGAATGAATTTCGCATCAAAATCCAAGACCTGTTATCCTAAACCTGATTGGTTCGTCCATAAATTATAGTCTCGCCGAGTGCTCATTTACCTTTAGATTGGAGTGGCAAGGTTTCACAAGCGTAGAATGGAACTACTGTCACTAATGTGTTATAAACACTACCTTCTACATACAAACTAATATCGAAATGGCGCTAATATGGTCTGGATTGATCTAAGTCACCATGACTGTTATTATATGCGAACTGATCTTATGTAACACATCACCACCAGCACTCACATAACTACCAAGGTACACGAACTTTTTGACTACCAACACACCACTCACCAAAGAGTGAATGCAGACAAACGCTCCTCCCAGGCTTGTACTCTAACCTACTACACCAACACAGTGCATCCTTAAAGAAAAAATAAATGGAACGAGACGTTTAATACTAGATGTGACTACAATCAAAATATTTTGTACTCTAACTACAAATCGATACCATAAACATGTTTTTCTATTAATAGTCTACTTGTTCAACCTTTCCTCTCTATTGATACCAATATTTCTGCATAAATCGAATATATTCTCAGTTGTTGAATGTTCTATTTTAGAAACTTTGACCATCCACTGTGTAAAACCACATTTATTTGTACAGCTTTAATAATGAACTCACTGAAAAGAATTCGTTCACTAAATTACTTTTTCTTTGACTTGATATGTATATTGACATTAGTTATTGAAACATTGTGTAACGGTGTTTCCGATTCCATACTCAATAACTAGTAAATCAATATTTAACTGTTACTTAAGGATAGCAAATTTAATAGGAAGAGTGTTTAAGTCTTTTATTTTTTCGGAACCTGAAAAGGCACTAGATGACCGTTTCTTCCCAGTAAGGGACCTCTTGGTAGTGCATATCCACTACTCTGCACGCGGGGATCGAACCTAGAACCCTGAATTCTGCACGCGAACACTTAAAATCTAGACCACTGAGTTGGTATCCAACTGTGTTAATGTCTAACTTCAATCGATCCACGATATTGCGCGACCACCTATTGTTTTCGATGGGTAACTACCTTACATCGTATATGGTTGAACTCCAGGTTTTCAATGGTTGTCCAACATTAATCATTTCATGATTTCTGTGGGACTCAAAGAACTCCACAACCATATACTTACGAAGAGGTTATTGCGGACCATATCATTATCACCTTGAATAATAATAGTAAACTTACTGGTGTCACTCATATTATCACTCATATAATATTTTAATTTGAATATCTTTTGAATTCTGTTATGCTAAAATTTATTGCATCGATATATTTCAGTTTACAAGGCTTTTTTTGTGTGCAATTTACCCTTGTTCATATTTATGAATACACGGATGGGAAAGGTTGATATATTTGTTAGTAACCTTTTCCTCTAAGTATATATTTACTCACCTCATTTTGACCTGTATAACATTTATAAGGACTAATGTTACTATGTAGCTGCTCAAAGTAAGTGATATTTTGTGAGTTCTTCCATAACTCACTTATTAAGTACATGTTTATGTATTCCACTTTCGATCATACAGTCTTTCTAGAAGTTAGCTAGTGTAGTTTGAACTTGCAACTTACTGATTAAAAGCTGTTTAATTCCTTTCAACACCAAACTGCCACTCCATACAATATCGCTTTCAGTATTATATCCAATTCTATCTTAACCTAATGCAAACTTTCTTTTACTATGCTGTTAGTAGGTTTAAAAACGAAGCTAATCAGTTGAAGTTTATGATGTATAGGTGTCACTTGATTATCAAGATCATTATCGTTATAATTTTATTTCTGCTTATTCAGATACCTGTGGATAGTTCTGAAGGTTTACGCTTCCGTAGTAGTTATTCTTATGTTCAATCAGCTTCTCATATAGCTATTTTGGATCCGTTTACAGGAGAGCAGAAAATGATGTGGACGCATTTAAATGATCCTAAAATTGTATATGATGTCTGTAAGTGCTTTATTAGTTTTATTCGTAATTCATTATCTAACCGTTGATGTACTTTACGGTCAGACTCAACTACTAATTTACACTATGATTAATATAACTAAATATAAAAAAATACGTTAAAATACCTGAAAGTTTTAATCGAATGCTATTTAAATTTGTTTAGTTTGCGTATGGTTTTTAATCATGAATTGATATCTGTTGGAGCACTGTTGAAATCAAGTGCACTGGACAGAATTTTTATCGGAATATTTAAGACTCCTGTATAATGTACATCCTCCCTGAATTAAACCTATGACCTTTACATCTCGTGGTTAACGTTTTCAGTGGTGTCCCAGCTAATTTGGAAATTAAAACTCCTGTATGGAAGTTTCATATGTTGATGGATTAGTAGTTATAACTTATTCAAAGTTAGTGTAGATTTATCTATATTGATACTAACCCCTTGTATCCACTTTACTCGATTCTTAAGTACACTCATCATAGAATCTTAATATGCTGTTTGATCTATGAAAATCGTTGTCTGATCTGATTAATTTAAAAGTAACATAGATAATGGTTATCTTCATACAAATATTCTTCAGTATTAGAACGAACAGTTTGACAAAAATTGAACATCGAGTGTTAAGAAGATTTGATTGTGATAATTACTGTGAAGAAGTTCAGACGAGTTTGCTGGACGAAACATTGAAATTACTTAAATTTCAATTGCTGAAATTATTTCAAATATAATTTTCAAAAGTAGTTATCTTTATTACAAATCGTAATGTCTTGTTAATAATCTTTCACATAAATTGTAATTTCGGAAAAATCTAATTACATGTGTTATGGTCATTCCAACGGGACACAATCAATCTTGTTCATATAATCACAATAATTTTAAACGGTATAGCTAAAGATTCGAGTGTACAACAAGACAATACATTTTTACTTATTGTAAATCGATGAAATTCGTATTCTAGGATTACTTTATCAATGTCACCAAACATATTTTCGTGTGCGAATAAAATTCAGTAGACATTTCTCAAGTAAAACAAACTCATATAAAAAAAGTAAGTCATTCAACAATTATACTACTAAAATTTACACTACTCATGACAACCTGATAATGTCGTTTTACTGAACATTATGGATTACTTACTCATGCCTGTTACCCCTAGTGGAGGAGCATAGGCTACCCACTAGCATTCTACGTCAAACTCTATCCTCGACAATCCTTTCCAGTTGTTTCCAGTTGCTATTCATTATTTTCATATCTACTTCTGACTCTCGACACACTGTGTTGCATTAGTTTCCCTCTTTTCCGTTTCCCTTCAGGATTCCGAGTTAGCGCTTGCCTCATTATTCAGTTTGATGATTTCCGTAATGTATGCCCTAACCGCTTCCATCGTCTTCCTAATTTCCTCTTCAACTGGAAGCTGTTTGGTTCTCTCCCACAGTAGATTGTTGTTGATGGTATCCCGTCAACAGCGGACATTGAGCATCTTGCGTAGACAAGTTGTTTATAAGTACTTGTACTTATGTGATGATAGTTGTGTTAGTTTTTTAAGTTTCAGCTCCGTACAGTAGAAATGACAGTCTTGACGTTCGTCTTGATGATTCTGACTTTGGTGTTGGCTTGCAGACAGTTATTTCGAGTTCCACATGTTCGTCAACTGTGTGAATGCTGTATTTGCTTTGTCAATCCTTGCATTTACCTCTGCATCGGATCCTCCACGTTCATCGATGATGCTGCCCAGGTGTGTGAGGGCTTCCACCTGTCCCACAGTTTCTCCATCAAGTGTGATTCGGTTTGTGTTCTCCATGTTGTACTTGAAGATGTTGCTTTTCCCTTACGTATGTTGAGGCCTACTGATGCAGATGCTGCTACTACACTGACAGTCTTCACTTGTATTTGTTGGTGTGCATGGGATAGAAGAGCTAGTGAAGTGAAAATTGTCTCGTCTGCAAGCTGTCGATTGTAATCCATGTTTCCCATCAGCTGTGTGGGTCTTCATAATCTTGTCAACCACTAGCTGATAGAGAAAGTGACAAAGTAGTCAGCCTTGTCTGACTCTGGTCTTCACATGGAATGCACCTGTGGGCTGTCTTCCATGCATCTCCTTGCAGTGTAGTCAGTCGTATGAATTCCGTATGATCTTGACGATTTTTCAGCTACTTACACTATAATGTGGAAGAAGTTACCATAAAGTCCTATCCATACTGTCGAATGCTTTCAGTAGAGCTGGTCTATTCAAGAGTTCCTCAAAATATTCTACCCATGTTTTCCCCTGTTCTTGAATCTCGGTGATTGGTTTGCCTTCTTTATTCTTGACCAGTCTCTCTAGTTTATTATATTCCCTTTCCAGTTTCTCCATTGTGTCACATAATTGTCTCATATTTCCTTCTCTTGAAGCTTTTTCCATTGTCGTTGCTAGCTCTTCCACGTATTTGTGCTTGTCAGTTCTAATGGTCCTCGTTTGCTTGTTTGTATCTGTGTATTCATCTTTTGCCTTGACTTTCTCTGTTCTTGTTCGGCTGTTTTTGATTGCTATCCTTCCTTTTGAGTCTTGTCCAGGATTTCCATAGAGATCCATTTCTTATGATGATGTTTGTTGCGGCCCAGAACCTTCTGACAAGTTGAAGTTAAGGCTTCTTTGATTCCTTTTCAGTTGATCTCCATATTAGTTTTCACATCTCTGAGTAGATCTAGTAAGACTTGGAACCTGTTATTGAGAGTTATGTTGAATTCATTCTGTTTGTTAGTATCCGGAAGAAAGGTTGTATTGAACCTTTGTAATGCTGTTTCTCCAGTTGTCTAGTACTTCTTTAGCTTCAGTTTCATCATGAAAACCAACAGTTGGTGGTGATCCGAAGTCATGTCAACTCCATTCCTGCTTCTTACGTCTTTCATTAACCTTCTGAATTTTTTAGTGATGCAAATATGACCAGTCTGATTCTCTCTAGTGTGGTCGGATGTAGCTTTGTGTATACGCTTGTGTAGGAATACAGTGCCACCTATAAACATTGTGATGAATTCACATAACTTTGCAAATCTGTCACCATTCTTGTGTCCTTCTCGCAATCAATCCTTGTCGTCCCATGATATCTTCGTACTCAATGTTGTCCATCCCAACTGCGGCGTTCTAGTCTCTCATCAGGATGGTCGGGTCGTTTCCTGAGCACTTCGCTATGATCGATTGCAGCCTCTCGTTAAAATGGTCCTTGTGTAGTGTCGGTTACTATGTTAAGGCCACATAACTTATTCTAGCTTCTGGACAGGCCTATTTATTCATTTTTCTTGAGTCACGTTTTGACCTCGTCAATTATTCACTTATTAATCCTGACTGTTTTTATATGAGCGTATGTGTGTACACTACTTATCTCATTCATCACATGTCTGTAACTAATTTTTTGTGACTATAAATATTGATTAACGCTCGATTAAATGGAGTTGGCTCACACGCCATCTCCAATGCACGTCGTTTCGCTTCATTCTCTGTGATCCTTTGGTTGTCTGTTCCGATCAACGAGTGTACAAAATATGCATATTCAAACATTTATTTTCGTATTTGACTTATTTAATTCCGTTATACACTAACGCGATTTAAGTCGATAATGTTATATGAGGATTGACGATATTTATATTTCAATAACAATCAATTATAAAAACCAATTAGAGTCAGATATCTGTCCACTAAACTTTTCGTCGTCGTTGCTATAATTGGTGGGTGCGTAACATTGGATAACATTCATTGTGATCCCCTCCCTCTTTATTTCGAAGGATGCTTTGATAATCCTGCGTCCATGAGATTCTCATATTATAAGTGCTTTACGTGTTTCTTTGGATAGCATCAGAACAACTCCCCGAGTGGACAGAGCAGTTTCCTCTTCATGACCTGAGTACAGCAACATCTCTCCCGAATCTAACCTTTTCTGTCCAACTTGGGTCCAGTTGGTTTCACTAATTCCGATCGCCACCAAGTTGTATATCCTCATTTCCGCAGCTATTTGATTTTTATAGTTGTGTACGCATCTATTAATTCTACTCACACAAATATTCTTTATCTTCTGATTTTTTTCCGTTTACACACATCCATTTAATCAACTATAAGATTAGTTTCTTTATTTCCTTTATCTCCCCTGTTATGACTTGTGATAACCTAAAATTACATTCGTGTGCTGAAGTGGCCCACCAAATCAGCGGAAAAGTACTCGAAAATGTCAAATATTATTGCACCGTCACTGAATATTGAAAACGGATGGTTATTCTCACACTTACAACTTAAGTGGTACATATTTCCTACCTTTATCAGGTCATCTGTATAAGGTTTGATTTTTTTTCATGTTGGTAACACTTCCTGTCGTATACATGACATTTGTTTATCAGACTGCTGAATTGATTATACACCTTTCTTTGTAACAGAAAATCCTGCACTTCAATTTGTTTTGCGTTGTTTGTATGTGCATTTATGCTTGTTCGTTTATTTGTGAGGATTTGTATATAATATTTGTACTTACTGATACGAACATCTGAATCGATGTACACATTCTGATTCTGTTCACCTTGTTTCTAGTTAATAATTAATCACTCCATGAATGACTCACTATATCGTCACTGACTGGATTGCGGATTCTGCTCCACAGGGAGCATTTGTTTCTTCAATATTATCGTAGATGGATTTTACCGTCGATCACGTATCATAAGAAATCCAGATTCAGAGTTCCGACAACCTCCCCATTACAAATATTTACTCCGTATTTCAGTGATAGACCATTTTAAACCGAGATTCATGTAATCTTAAATGTATAGAATTTAATCTGAAGATGTGAACTGGTTTTTTCCATTCTCTATGTTGCCTTGTCATTATGATTTGATTAAATGCGACCTTAAATTCTTTTTCTTACAACTGGAAAGATTGTATTCTACCTTCGAGTACAGATCATTTGGGGATAAGAATTCAGTGTCGGTTACCTGAATGTTTATAGAATAATGTCTGATTGGCTTATCTGAAAGATATAGATTCACAACAGTCATCCTAATCCGGTCGATAAATGCGCGCGCACGTGTGTGTATGTGTACATGAAGTTCATATAGGCAATCATGTGATCATTAAATGGTAGATCAAGCTCTTTCTATCACACACACATACAACCACTCTGTAGTTATGTGCGGACATGCATGTCTCTCATTCTCCATTTTTCATACTGGATGGATGTTATTAGTATACATATATAAGTGTATGTCTATGTATAAATACATATCTGCGAAATGTATGTTTCCATGTTGACATTCATGGTGAATTGACGAGTATTAGAACGACAACCTAAGTTTAAATTTCTTCTCTTGCAAACGTTATTCGTTTTCGCTATCTCCGTTGTCATCGTCATCGTGGTTGTTAATCCTCCCACTGACTAGTTGTCTAAGTGTACACTACTATTGCTACAGTGTTGGTGTGATTATTAGCAAAAGTATTTTGAGTTAGTCTGGATATATAAATCAATGTGTCGTTGATGAGTGACCTGATATTTTGTCAGTCATCTTGTATGTATTCAACGAATACCTCGAACACATTACTACATATATATGTATATATGTGTGTGTGTTTGGAATATTGAAATGCAGTCAATAAATATGTATACAGATTGCATGCCTGATTATTCAATCAATATTCTAGCTTCTTACTGCCTACTTTGATTAGAAACTAAGGCAAATAATGGAGTCAATGAGTGACATGACTTATTATGTAAGATGATTAGAAATACTCCTCTTCCATTCTCAAAATCAGTCATGATATGAATTTTTTTTTATCGAAAAGAAAAAGGGAGTCAAATACTCAGTGATGTGATTTAAGACTAGTGATGAAGGACTATACTCTGAGACGTTATGAATTCGATAGTGATTTTCGGAATTCGAGAAATTAATTTCAAATTAATAGTATTCTTCTGTCTTCCGAACTAATCGTTAACGTGTTGTATTCAAAGAGATAAGTTAAAGCATTCAGTTTTAGTTATGCTGAGTTTTACACTAATGAATTCATTTGGTTTTTAGGTAGTTTTAGGGAAGCATTAACCTCATCCTACATTGCGATTTCACAAGAGTACTCACCCATAAATCCTCACAGAGTCGAACCCCCAGGACCTTCAGGTCTTATGGTGAGCGTGTTAATTTCAAACCACCGAGCCTGAAATCAACAAGTCACATTTCCAGCTTCACAGTAAAGTCCAACAACCCTTTGAGTTGTATTTTACAACTGATTATTCCTGAAAGTTATGTTGCATTATCAGCTGATCATCTATAACATCAATATATTTGTCGAGTATCATTATGGAAATTGCAAACTTTCGAAAGCTGATCAGTTAACGTTTATGTGCTTAGAAGTTTTCACGTCTGCGTTATTTACAACTAAACTTTTACGAATCACTATATCTTGGTTTCGTTTGCCTTTTTTTTCAGACCCATAACAAGTCCCAGTATTAGAAATAAAGTTATTTATTGACATTAGTAAAAACGTTAAACGAAATACTTATGAACAATTTCATAAATTGTTTACTATCAGTAAAAATGATCTTAGAGACAAATTTAACCAGTCGCTAGGAAAAAAAAACACAATAAAACTTCGTGAGTTGAAATGCTGACTGTGAAGCGAAATTGTGTTTCGAATTGATCTGTTTCCCAAAACGTTACTCAGAGTTGTTTAAGAATAACAGTTTTTCATTATTTATGATTTTTTCGAAAATTTTAAACCACATACAAAAACGTAAATTTAAGTTAAAAAATTCTCAACATTTTTACTGGTGAATGTTAAAACCACATTTGATAAATCTTTAAATTATCACACATTTACTATTGTTTATCTTCATCGATAGAATTGGCAATAATCCTCTTCATTATTTATTTGTTTACTCAATTATATTCGGAGTTTTTCTTTGATTCTTTCGTGAATGTTCACGTTTGATTGTTTGTTCCAACGATATAAAGATTTATTTCATGTTGAAGTTGCCACAGTAGAGGATAATTGAGAATCACCTGTTTCTTCTAAATGTTGGTTTTTTTAATTTAATAAACAAATTACCGCGTTGATTATTACGGTAATATGACTTTATACCTATTTGGATTTATTTGCACAAATGAATGCAAACCTGTAGAAAGAATTGGTTTCGAAGGTGTTTTGTAAATGTGTACTTGAAAGGAAGTTAATTCTTTACGAGTTCCAATCAGTAAACAATCATTTGACAATGGGCATCTCTAAGACTTTCAAAATAATAAATAAACCATGAATTCCCAGTTTTATTTGTCCAATCAAAAATCACTACTATAAGGGATTTTTAACGCGATCTCTATTTACAACAAAATGGTTTATTGTTATTGTTATCGCGATGCGGTCATTATTGCTAAACTAGAAATTTTTGTTTAAATATTCGATAATTCTTCTGATAATAAAAATACAAAGTATTTTTCATGTTTCGTTAAGAATTAGTTCAATTAGCTTTTTTATTTAGATTGTCTGTATTTTCGTATTATTTACTGCTATAGTTTAATACTTTAGTAATTCGCGTGACTATCATAACCAATGGTTGGAAACTTTTGGTGACATGGCTCAGAATCAATTACAGTGGCGTCGGTGTATACACTCTCTGTCTTCCCTTAAACTAAGAGATCAAAATTGCTTCATATCTTTCTTTCTATGAACTAATTCTTTCTTCATGTACTGTATCTTTATATGCAATCTTTTTATATATATTACTACCATTGAATTAACTACTTCCATGAATCCGGTGTTCATCCTGCTGTGCTAATGAGGTATGGTAACTTGGACCGATGCATATATGTGCCTGGTCCTACGTTGTAGCTGACTGACTTTAGTAATTTGTAGGCAATTGGTTCCCCAAAATTTTACATTAAATATGACTCACTGACTTGATATATTCCATAGTGTTATAGTATTGCGTCATAAACTTAAAGCCTCACTAAATAATGTAACATATTTGTACTTTATGACACGGTCTAATTTCATCTAGGGACATCCTGAAAACTAGAAGGCATACTGGACAGCTGTTTTGACTTTGTATGAGACAAGCGAACACATTGTACCTATGACCTCTGAAGGACTCGGTCCCATGACGTACTCGTGAAATTCAGACCTTTGAGTTAATATGGAGTGGTTTACAACTCTAACTTCAATCAATTCGCTATTTTGCGGATCCGTCATTTATTTGCATCGATGACATCTGTCTTACATCCGACATGACTGAACTCCCAGTTACAATTCCTAAATAGAATTTTGAGAATTTATCTCGAAGTTATTTACTAATAAGCTAATAAAATTGTTATTAGTTTAGAAGCATTGTGAAAATTTTCTAGGTTTAGTCAGTCTGTAGAGAAAACCACAAAACAGAAAATATCCACTAATCTTTGGTAAGAATATGTAGATTAGTTTGAAAGGAATGTGTTCTTATCCGTTGTTTGATCTAGACTTTTTAACTGTACTTTTTTAAAGGCTGTCCTCATTTTCAACTTGTTAATGTTTTGATTATATATTATTATTCCTGTCATAATCTTCTAGTATATCAATTTATACAACATACTACGCTAACTAATCCGAATAGCAATACAAATGTAATCAACACTACTGCTATTAATGATGGTCAATACAGTAATAGTATTGGTAGTATTAGCCTTACTGGGAACGGTAGAACAGATTCAACTAGTATTGACAATCGTTTTACGAATTCTGTCCCTCAGACTGGTATGCGAAGAAGACCAGCAGAAGCAGCAAATGCAGAAATGCATCAACAATTCAATCATTTCAATTTGAAAAGGCCACGTTTACAAACATCTGACAATGTACATTCATCGGTAAGTGTAACGCATACATTACCAATTTCGAAATTTTTTATTATGAATCCTTATCTGGATATTATAAACGTATAAAGGAAAAAAATCTATTACAACACCAAATATAAGTTGGTTACAGAGAGAGAAAAAGATTCATCGAAGACATTTGTCAGCTATTCCACTTTTATAGAAAAAAAAACGGAAAAAATCCGGTGAAAATATTTTCGTATCAACGGTTTGATCTGGTAAAGTTATACTATTTATTTATTTATTTGAACACATAAATATTGGTACAAGAGAGCGCCAATATATATGCGCCACACTAAAATAACGAGGGAACGGAAAGGTACAATCAGAAGAAATCTTTCAAGTAAGGGAGACACAACCAGCAGGATCGCCACTGGCTTCTATTCTGAGCCATATCTGATAACGTCTCTAGCCACTGTGTAGCACCATCTCTTGGACCTCAGCCAGGGAGTCGTGAAGGACCGACAGAAGCCAGTCCTTTGCAGCTTTCTTTCATACCACGACACCATGTCATGCACTGACCACCTCTCCGCTTTTTCCAACCAGTCCCAGAGTCAGCAAATAATGCACGACGTGGAATTCTCTGGGACGACATTCGTAGAACATGTCCAAGCCATCGAAGTCGGTGTTTCAAGGTGGTGACACCAATTGAATTATCATCTCTGTGCCCGAACACACGATGCCGAACCTCTGCATTATTGACATGGTGTTGCCACTGAATGTCAGCAATCCTTCGAAGACAGCGATGATCGAACACAGGGAGTCGTCTAACGTCCTCAACTCGGAGAGGCCAGGTTTCACAAGCATAGAGCAAAACTGCTCTCACCGACGCGTTGTAGATCCGACCTTTTACAGGCAGACTAACATCACGAAGGCGCCAAAGGTGGCCCAGATTGGCATAAGCCGCTCTGGCTTTCGCTATACATACATTGATCTCATCACTCACACCCCCACCAGCACTTATGCAGCTACCCAGATACACGAACTTCTCGACTACTTCTATCTGCTCACCATCCAGGGTGAGTACAAGATTGGAATCCTGCCAGTCTTGTAGAAGTAATTTGCACTTCGAAGGTGCAAAGCACATGCCGTACCTACGGGCACTGATTGCCAACTGATTAAGTGCGGATTGCATGCCTTGGGCATTATCGCACAGTAAGACAATATCGTCTGCATACTCAAGGTCGAGAAGTCTTTCTCCAGGCAACAGATCCACACCACCATTACTTACATTCATCAGAGCTGTTTCCAGAATGTCATCGATGGCAAAGTTGAAGAGGAATGGTAAGATTGGGCAACCCTGCCTAACCCCACTACTCGAATGGAACAATGGAGATAGGCGGTTGTATGCCCTCACTCTGCCTGAGGTGTTTTTATATAGGGATTTTATGATGTTAATAAACTTCTCAGGCACACCCTTCTTCAATAGACAATCCCAGAGAACAGTCCTGTCCAACGAATCGAAGGCAGCCCTGATGTCAAGAAACACTACGATTGTTGGCCTTTGATAAGTATGGCGATGTTCTAACATTTGGCGGAGGGTGAAGATATGATCAATACATCCTCGACCAGAACGAAACCCAGCCTGCTCCTCGCGAGTCAATCTTTCTCGGGTTTTGAACAACCTACGAAGTATGACGGAAGCCAATAGCTTGGACGCAATCGGAAGTAGACTTATCCCCCGATAGTTGTTGCAGGAACGATGTGAACCCTTTTTAAAGATAGAGACAACTATCGGCTCATCCCATGACGTTGGTACACTCTCTAATTCCCAAACCTTTGTAAACAACGTCGTCAATTCCTTAGTCAAAAAGTCACCACCATCTTTAAAAAGAGCCGGAGGTAAGTCCTATGGGCCCGGTGATTTGTAGCGCTTCAAGAGTTGGAGTTCCTTGCGGACTTCCTCCTCGTTTGGTGGATCAGTCGTCACCGGCCATGGAGGGCAGGACAGTCTGATCGATGTTGCCGGAGCAGCAGGTCAGTTGAACTGCCCTTCGAAAAATTCTGCCCATCGTCCAAGACGTCAATGGATGTTAGTGATTGGCATCCCATCATCCTCGCAGATTGTTTCACTCACACCAGACTTCATAAGTTATACAATGATATATAGATATATATATTTCGCCGGGAGCCCTTTTAGGGTTACTGCCGGTCCCAATCCTGGATAATGGATTGTTGGGCATGGAGTTAGCAACCTTATCCCGTAGGAGAGAACTGTGTTAAAAAGCGCTAATCAGAAAGATACTTACATATGTATATATATATATATTGAAAAATAGGATTTAGTTGGGTCACTCATAATGTTCGGAAATGAAGCTAGTATGTTTATGAGGAGTATGAAATATGTATGCCCACTTGACGAATGTAAAGAAGGTGAATAAGAAGAAGAATAAAAAGATGGTGAAAAAGAGAAAATCAAGTTTTAGAGCTATAATAAGTCGAGAGTTACTTTTACACACACAGAATTCGAGTGGGAATTGCTGAGTGGCTAAAACCTTCACACTTCACAGCCCTTTGATCTTCATTTCTTTTAAACCAGTTCACGTGACTGTATGGATAACTCTAGTGGACCAACCTGACTAGTATTGAGCTGTTGATTGACTGGAATTCATCTTTTATGAGTCAGGGTAATCTCTTTAGAAACGACTTACATTGTGCAGCTGATTTAATCTGCTCCATAAAAGCCAGTAATCTCATGTATCTGTATTAATGTGAGTGAAAGTTGTTTCTTGTATCCAGAATATTTTCAACAATCTCTTCAGATGAAAGTAGACAAAATTGATCACAATAACATGAAAAATGTGACACATGGCATAAATTACTTATACGAGACAGTTCATAAGTTTAAGGACTAAGTTGTATGATATACTTGAAATTATTTTAAAGGTAAAAAATAAACAAGGATATTGTACAAATAAAATGTAGTCTTTGATAAGGTCCACAACTTTCTAATACTTCTTGATTGTTTTGAAACTCTTCGGGTGATATTAGTCTGTTTTTTCCCAGTCTTTTAAATTGACATACTATATTAAACTAAAAAAATAAACGCAATTTAGATACTTCTGCCTGACTAAATTCACCAATCTGCTCACGTACGCCAGAAGTCTTATCACCATAACATAACATTTATTGAAGCAAAGAGAAAAAACTAATTAATACTGTTTTCTTGGTTAAAATATGTTCTCATCTGGATCCAATGACTTGTTATCAGCTAAAAAAATCAATATCGGCCTATTCTTCCTGACTATCTATCGTTCGACCAACCAAATCATTTTACACTTTGAGAAGTCATTTATGTAATTAAGTTCAATAATAGTTTCTATGTTGAAATATAAACAACGAAGTTAATTGTAGGAGTACGTCTATCAGACACACATCATTTATGAACGTAACTTGACATTTTATTTTGTCGTGATTAAAAATACCTATGAAGAAGATGAAACTGTATTATGTTAACTGTTGTGACTTTAAGGTCGTCTAATTATCACGTGATTTATTCGTCAATCGAAATATGACTTATTGAACCTTAGTACTGTACTAAACCAATGAATTTCGACTGGTATGAGCGGCCTAGTGTCCTTATTAGTCCTTTGTACTTCTAGCCCGTTCAGTTGAGTCCAGAACGTCAATAACAGCTTCGAATATTCGAATAATTTATCTAAAACATACTTGGTTTATATACCAGCCAAACAGACCACATCACATCATAACAACATTTATACGAAATCAAGCTAAAATTTGTCTGTGAACATGGGAGACGGTAATTAATAAACTGAACATAGTTTGAGAACGATAAAACATATACTAATAATCTATAAATCAAAATGAAGCTTATATTAAGGGGAATATAAATATAAATAATCTAATTACTGAACAGTTATACTAATATATACAATATTAGTCCATTAATAGCTCTCAGGAGTCACCCGTAATTTAATCGTCAATAGGATATAACTATCGAGGAAATTCAAGTACATCATTGTTGTGTCATTTTGTTGATCTTTCAACAAGTTTGCACATTGATTTTGTCAGATAATAAGAAAACTACTGATGATCCAATAAATGATCCAAACATATACTGGCCTCTAGAATAAATGATTGCTGTAGAGTTCCGACTTGCTTCAAGATTAAAGTAAAACTGATTATAAATTTAGAACTACTTGTTAGCTACGTGAAACTGCTCTATACACACTTATATTTTGTTACATTTCCTATTATCGATGGATCCATTATTCTCACGGTTTATATAATCATCGGCTAATAAGCTGCATAGCAATTTCAAGGTTACCGCTTGTAATCACTAATACACTATGTAGTTTCACTCTAATTAACCATTTTCATATAAAATTATCATGAACGAAGTATTATCTTGTAATTTGATTGCTAGTTTTTGATTAGTATAACATTTTAATGTTTAAAACCATAAAATATATGTTATTTGAAAGTTTTTTTATTCTAAGAGATCATTATAGTTTTTAGTTAGCTACAATGGTTTATTGATTCACCAGTTTATCTATCGGTTATTATTCACCAACTGGATCCAATGTGTCTACTTTATCGTACTAGGATTTCAGTGGTCAGCTTCATACACTTGTATACTGAGTATCTGAATTAATTAGTGAAATAACGGAGTTGTGATATCGTATAGTTGTGTACTCATTTTAGTGGCTTATATTCGACTTCAGGTCGATCATATGAATTACTGTTATTGAAATATACATATCGTCAATCCTCGTATAAAATTGTCGACTTAAATCGTGTTAGTGAATGACGGAATTAAATAAGTCTAATACGAGAATGAATTTTGAATACGTGTATTTCATGCAATCGTTGATCCAGACAAACAATCAAAGAAACGAAGCGAATAAAGCGAAGTGATGAGTGCGAAGCGAGATGATGCGCAGTGGAGAAGGCATGTGAACCTACTCGATTTAATCAAGCGTTAATCGATATTAATAGTCAGAACAAAAATAAGCTACAGATATATAATGAATAGGATAAGAAGTGCATACACATACGCTCATATGACAACAGTTAAGGTTGATAAGCGAATAACTGACAAGGTCAAAATGTGAATCAAGAAAAATGAATAAATTGACCTGTCTAGAAGCTAGAATAATCTGTGTCATCTTAACATAGCAACTGACACTATGTTCTTTTTAATATTGGATTTTTCTGGAAGGAAAAAACAAAACAAATTATAACTATCACAAATTAATTAAATTACTCTTTACTTGTCTTAATAAATAATTATACAGTTTTAACATTTAAAACACTTCTAGTAAACTGTTATAAATGAACTCAGCTAGACAATTACTGTAAATAGTTGTGATGACCCCTTTACTGTTTAAATGTTTAGATCAACGTTTTTTAGTTTCAGTTAACATTTAAAAAAAAAAGAACACGTACTCAAATCATCTTAGCAATTGGTTTCATATTACTAGTTAGAAGTGATATGAAATTTATTAAAAGAGTAGTATTCATATTTATTATTCTTAATGTTGAGTAGAAGTTTTTTGCGAATTTATCCCTCAGAGTTTATCATATCTATCACTCACCTTATTCCAGATGGAATACAATTCATGTTGTCTAAGGTAATAAAAACGTTTATAGATACTAATTTCTTCATTCTTATATATTCTGGATTTTATTTGTTTGTTAAAGTAGCCTATAAAAGTTTGTTATTTCTAGTATTATTAATTTATTTATTGGATTTGATATTATTGTTGTAACACTTGCAGGAACTGTGACTAAAATAGGGATACATAACTATGCACTTGATAAATGAATTATAAAGAAACTTAAAAGATATTCCTTCTAAGCTATACTTTAAAAATCTATAAGTTGCAAGTTTCAACCTTGTTCCTATGTATATCAGCTTAAAAAAGTTAGATAGAATATCACTAGTCCAAAAATAAAAATAAAAACTAAGCGGTTAATGGTTATTGTTCAAATTTTCATAGAAACTGTAAAAACAAACATATTAAATCGGTATCTGGATACCTAATATATATATTCAGCTTTTCACTAATAAAACAATGGCTCGAAGCATAATTTATTTTACCTTTTGATAATCCTGTAATACACTAACCTACACATATATTACACAGCTCAAATCTAAATACATCAATTTGTACATCGTAATGAAGTGAAAAACAGGGTACATTTATAAAATGAAATGCAAATGCATTCGAAAATTCGTCTGTTTTTGTAATCACTTTGAGCCTATTCAAAAGTTTATCACTGTTTTAGGTTTATTATTATTATTATTATTATTATTATTATTATTATTATTATTATTATTATTAAAATATTCCAGGATGTTGAATATATCGACTTGTCGAATAGTGTACATTCATCTCAAATAAATTGTACAACTTCTAATCCGTTAGATCTAACTGAAGAAGAACAGTTACAACTGGCTATTGAAGCATCTAAAAAGGAGGCTAAACGACAATTGGTAAGATAATAATAAAGTTAATTTGTTCTATATATAATGTAAGCTTATTTATCATATATCGATTTAATGTATTTGGATTTAAGCTACACTATTGTTATTTGAGAAGGTTAAAAGCAATCATACTCAATTGTCCAAGTCGAAGGGTTGGGGGCCTTAGTAAGATGAAATTGCAATCTATTGGTTGAAATCCAGATGTTCTTTACCACTATATAGCATAGTTTTACAGCACGTTTTTGTGTTCAGATTTAATCCAAACTGTTTATATATAGAGGGTTAGTCATACTAACCGGTACACAGTTTAAAAGCTGAATTAATCATTCAAACCAGTGAACAGCCGTCATTTTTCAAAGAATCTTATCACTTTCCTAAATCTATCTATCTATCTAACCCGTTAGTTGAAAGAAAAGTCAACACATTACTTTTTCATCAAGATCATTAGCCGATCAATTTTAGACTATTATTGAAAACCTGGAAGCACTGGAATATCGTTTCGTTCTAATATGAGACTCTTCAGCAGTGCACATTCATGATCAGGTTGTCAACGGTAGTCTAACACATCGATTCATGATTTCAGTGCAATTCAACAATCTTCAGAACTTTATACGGACATTACTTTTTCTTATACTTTAAATAGCGTCTAAATAGTTTCTTGGAAAAAGTACTGTGAAGAAATTTACGGTAGTATTAGTAGTAGTGTAGTGAACAAAAGTCAGATGGGGAGGACTAATTTGTTTTTTAATGCAAAATTGTAGAGTGCCTTCGTAAAATATGAAAACTATACATTAGATATACTATTTGCAGTCATTGGGATAGAACAAAATTATATTTATTATGCTTCATGATTCTTTCAATTCTGTTGTTATTACAACTACTCTCTGTTTACATTCTTGTTCTCTTCAATTCGATCTTCTCACTATTTTCTTGTTAGGCATTCTACTTCTGATTGGTGTTACATACTACTTATATCTATCAACGTAAGTAGCATACACCATTGTAGTAGTAGCTCATGTGTACATTTATTAGTATGTGAAATATCTCATTTCTTTTTCAAACATATGTAAGTAAACTAAACTGCTAATGTTTGTATATACATAATATATCAAGCGTAAATTTTACACAAAATGAAATATTTGCAAGAAGTAAAAACATTATCACTTACATAATTTTATTATTTTCCTTTCCTCTCAACATTATATTTCATCCTAATTACTATTAGATTTTTTAAATTAGAAATATGCTATGGTGGTTACAAGAAAAGTCGAATTTTATTAGAAAAATCTTTTTAGGAACGATAATCACTCGCACATATTCTACTAATTCAATTTTTCGCATAATCTTTGTCCTCTGATTGGTGGTCATGTTTTTTTAGTTGTCCAAATTGCTGCATGATTGAAGGTTATATTCTGCTACTATAGTAATAATTTTCGTGCCAGTTTCGATTGAATTGCTTGTTCTACCACAAATATTAAGTTACCTGAATTCCCGTCTTCTTCATGTGTTAGCTGTCGAGGTTCAATGTATTGAGTATAATTGACTGTTGTCAGTTCCAAAGAGAACCGATCGTATTAGAGTAGCTCAATCGTTCTCGTTCCTAGATCCGTAACACCATAGGCCATTGAAAACACTGAACAATTGTTTTACTATATTATGGAACTTTTTAATAGTGCACATTCGAAACCTTACCGATAATCGAACCATGACCTTTAGATCTTATGACATGCACTTAACTTTTGGACTGTTCAGTGGATTACATGTGAATTTCTTACTTCAAATTTCTTTCTAATGCTTACTGATTTCCTCTAGTTATATAAGGTTGGCATGTAATGTAAACTATAGAATGTAAACTGTCGTTCACACCATTGTCTTTATAAATAAAATCACCAGTCCATACTTCAAAAGAAAGAATTGAGGAATGAGAATTACTGATAATAAACCAATTATCTACAAAGATATCAGTATGATTCCATCGGTTTAGAACAATTTATTGCTGACTTGTGAGAAAGCATTTTAATAGATCATTTCTTCTCTTGGAGTATCTATATCAATTATATTGTTATTTGAATGAATGAAAGGTTTATAGTTATGAAACTTTTCATATCCGAAAATACAACACTTAGAAAATATGCTACATTAGTTTAATTCTCAATGTTCCAACATTATTGTTCAACATATTCATAACTGACTTATTCACTGACGACTCGTAATAGTCATCTTTTTGACTGAAATTATTACAATCGCTTTTATTCTCTGTTTACTGTTTTATTTTTTATTCAGTTCAATGATGATAGTGAGATAGTTCTCACAGATGATGAAGATGATGATGACGATGACAATGATGAAGAATATATGAATGGCAATAGACGTTTAGATACTGATATTGACCAACAACAATGTGATCGTGAACAAGATAAAAAGCAATACACACATAATACATATGAAGACGATGATTGCGTTGTAGTTGACTATCCTAAAAAACCCAGCAGTTCATCATTTGTTTCGTCGACTACAGCATTTATTACAGCAAGAAGACCTTTAAGACCATCAGAAAAGTTAAGTGAAGCAACATCCAATAATGATTTGAAATCAGATATTTTGACCGTATTACCTACTCCAGCACCTGGTGAAGCGGTTATGGAATTACTTTTTCGTTTACCCGATGGTAATCGTGAAGTCCATCGACTTCATCCTACTCTCAAGTTACAGGTAAATTTAGCTATTCTCGAATGTTTTCTCTCTTTTATTTTGTCGATATCAAAAGAATTACAATCATCTGAATAATGAACGTTCGCACAGAATTAATATAATTTGATGTCATAGGTGAGGAGTCGTTCAGAGTAAACCAGTTTTCATTTTATTATCGGACAAGTTGAATCAAGTCGAGCAAATTAATAATTAAAGGAAGTGTCACAATCTAAAAATGACTTACTGTGACTATATTCTTTTAGTGAGATTTAGCAACATAGATTCTCCCAATCATGTATTCGTGCTAGGTCCTGTATTAATAATTAATTGATCAATATCACAACATGATCTTCGTTAAATAATAATTAGAAACTGGAAGGCATTGAGCATCTTTCCCACTTTACGATTGGACTCTTCAACAGTATGTATTTACGATCCCACTACCGATCTAATCCAGGATCTTCAAGTCAACTTTACAACGTACCAAGTAAAATAGGTAAGTTCATCTTCTCAGTGATTAGTTCGAAATGAGGTGAAACATGTCGGGTACGAGGCAGTTACTCACCAATAACATCGGAAGGCAGTTGCAGAATATCATTAATTGATTGAAGTTGGAAATGTAAACCGTTGGATCACGACTTGGGGATCTAAGTGTTAAGCGCCTGCTGTAAAACGTAAAGATCTTGAGTTGGGTTGTAGATATCCAATGGTGAGAAGTGGAATACCAACATAAAACAACTGTTCAATGTTTCCTGATTTTCAATAGTCGTCTAGCTGAAGTCAGTCTGTATTGTAAACTAGGAAATTCAGCAATCTCCACAAAACCGTCACTCTAATAACCGAATTTTGTTGCTACTGTAATAAGCTATACTAGGTAATCAAATGGCCTGATGATTTTACCTGTTAAATCGCTCAACTTTCATCTATTGAATCTCAGATTCAAGCTTTACTTTATCTACTTCATTTATGGATACCTAGATATTATAAAATGCATGACTCGTAGTTTATCATAAAAGTTTTTATCGGTTTAATGAGTCAAAGGGTGTTCGAAATCAATTCATATTGTTACAGAGTTTTAACTATATTATCTAGTTATATTATCTGACCCCAAATGCCCCGGTATGGCCGAGAGTGGGGTCGGTCCGCCCTCCCTCTCGAAATGCTCTCACATGGCCACGCGTACACAACCTCTACCAGGGAAGTCCTACTCATTGCCTTTTCGTGGTGGGGATGTTGTTTACGAAAATGAAAGAACGAAAAGCGAATGTCCGGCGCTTTAACCGGATTCCAAACCAATGGTGCACATGTGCTCCAGTATCCTGCGGGAACAAATGGGCGTATGAACCAATTGTTGGTCACCGGTTACCATGGGACTGCATCTCCTTATGATGTTCCATTGCCTTATGGATCAAACCTTTAGATCGAAGGCTCGGGGTGTGGCCTCCTAAGAAAACCACGTGCTTCGGTTTGGGCACCAGTCAGTCAGTCAGTCAATAACAACGTAGAACTTCGTACGTACGTACATCAGTTCGAGTTGCCACACCACCTTAACACAGAGATGCAGTTGTCGATTCAAATCCCATTGTAGTAGAGGTAGCAAGAGTGTAAGCAGTGATCGGGAAGATTAGGGTTTGGAGATGTTATTTAAAGAGTATAATTCAGTGAAATAAATTTGGAAAGAGGAAAAAAGGGACATGAAGAATTCAGAAGATTAGAATTTGGGAGAACACAAAGAGTGGATGCACCTGCGCCATTGCAAACGATTTTGAGCCATGTCATTCAAGGTCTCTAACCATCGGTTGCTATCATCTCGCGGTCCCCAACCAGGTAGTCTATACCTATCAACATGACTCAGACCACTTGTCAGTGACTTCATGGACTTTTGCCATGTTTTGATCTGGCCGCCCCTAGCTTTCTTCCAATCTACTCCTATACCACTGAACATCGCACGTCGAGGCGGTCAGTCGTTGGGCATACGTAACACGTGTCCCAGCCATCTCAAGTGATGAAGTTTCACTACTTCATCAATTGATTTGCCATCCTTACCTAGTACCCATTTCCTAACAACTGTGTTACTTACTCGATGGTCCCATGATATACGAGCAATGTTTCGAAGACACCTATGATCGAATACTAGTAACCTACGAATATCCTCTACTCTTACCGGCCATGTTTCCCTTCCATAAAGTAGGACGGGACGTACTGCTGCACAGTAAACCCGTCCTTTGGTTGATAGACGGATATCTCGCCTACGCCATAAATGACGCAAGTTCGCAAAAGCTAGTCGAGCCTTCTGTGTTGAGATTTCGTCACAAAACAGACCACAAGGGCTGATGAGACTTCCAAGATAAGTGAAGCGGTCGACACACTCAACTACTTCACTCCCTATCACTAGTTCGGGTGTCGATGTAACCCAATCCTGAAGCAACATTTTGCATTTCGAGGGAGAGAATCGCATCCCGAACATGCTTGCATTGTTGCTTAGAGTGGTCAGAAGATTCTGCATTTTGTCAGCGTCTTCACCAAATAAAACTATGTCATCCGCATATTCTAAGTCAACAAGTGAACCTCCCGGTAGAAGTTCAACCCCTGGAAATTTAGATGAGGAGAGTGTTATCTCTAAAAGTACGTCGACCACAAAGTTGAACAAGAATGGGGAGAGTGGACAGCCCTGACGAACACCACTTGAGGTAATCAATTCTGATGACAGTTCGCCATAAGCTCTCACTCTACCAGATGTGTTCGAGTAGAGAGCCTTTATAAGGTTAATGTACTTCTTTGGTACTCCTTTCAGTGACAAACACTGCCATAGAACCTTACGATCAACAGAGTCGAATGCCGCCTTAAGGTCGAGAAATACTACCATTGTGGGGCGTCTAAACGTGTGTCTGTGTTCTAGAACCTGACGTAGTGTGAATATTTGGTCTATACAACCACGTCCAGGTCGAAAACCAGCCTGATTTTCTCTAGTCTGTTCTTCACAAGCTCTGGTTAGGCGTCGAAGTATTATTGAAGCTAATATTTTAGACACTATATTAGTCAAACTGATTCCTCTGTGATTGTCACAAGAGGACTTTTGTCCTTTCTTATAGACTGGCACAATCAGTGATTGAGACCAGTCAGATGGGATTACGTCCAGTTCTCAAATTCTACCTAAGACATCGGTTAATCTCATTGCTAATACTGGACCACCATCCTTAAAAATCTCAGGAGTAAACCTGTCAGGGCCAGCTGCTCTCCCTCGTTTCAGATTTCCTATGGCTTTTTCAACTTCGTTAAGAGACGGAGGACCTACATTAATTTGCCATTCAGGTTGACTGGGGATCGTGGGAAACCGAAGTGTGGCTGAAGGCCAGTTGAACTGATCCCTGAAGTGTTCTGCCCATCGATCCAATCTCCTGGATTGGGAATGAATAATATGTCCATCTTTCTCTGAGATTGTTTCGCTAACGGTCGGGTTCCTAATTCCGGTTTCCTTAACGAGTCTGAACAATTGTCTGCTATTACCTATTGCCGCTGCCTTCTCCATCTCTCTTGCTTTCGCTACCCACCACTGTTCGCGATCATTGCGTAGACTTCTTGTCAGCTTGCGCTTAAGCTGACTCCGCTCTTCATTATGTTCAGAGCCAGATGGAATGAGTTTCCGAGCATCTATCAGTGCGATAGATGCTGCTGAGATCCAGTGTTGCTCCCTAACCTTGTGGTTTACCTTACTAACAGATATCACTGCTGTTTCCACAGCTTTTCGGATATCATTCCATGCTGCCTCGGGGTGGGCAGCACATACATGGCTGCCTAACTGTTTTCCTAGTTGTTCCTGAAATATACTCTTAGCTTGACTATCATTAAGTAGGCCCCTAAGAGGTTTCGTTGCAGCGTCTTTCCTACGTCCAGTAAAACGCAAGCACCCGGTCAGTATCACAGCCCTCACACATATCAAATGAGATTTGTGTGGCGTATATATATTTGGTGCTTCCTTGTCCCAATATCTATGTGTTAAAATAATTAAATAAATAAACTATATTATCTTGTCAAGTCAGATGTTACTTATTAATGTTTAATTTTAACATTCTAGCCATTTATAATTAAGTGTTAAGACCATTGAACATATGATAATTCTCGTAGTTATATTTAATATTCTTTTTTTCATATTTAGTACTATTCTTCATCCTGATGTAAACTTATGACTTTGTCATTGAAAAATTTGACTTTTAACTAAATGAATTTTAATGGTTGAGATCATGAGTCAATTGAAGCTAGACCAACCTGGAAGCACTGGACGCGACCAGGTTAAGAATATTAATCATATTATATACTGTTGTGTATTTTTTAAACGACTTGCAACTTATCTCAAAGCTAAATACTGGAAAATTCAAACGGAGATATCTTATTGGTTTATATATACATTTACCTCATTCTCTTTTCTCTAAAGAAACGAGTTGATTACATTGTGCTTTGAACATATATAGGATGCAAAAATGTATTTTATAGTGAATGAGTGGTTATATCTTATGCCTAGAACTATTTGCCATATTCAGTCTAGTAGGTATTAAATAATTTATTTAGCTCATTGTTTACAGGCCCATTTACCTGACTTTGAATCATAATTTTTTAGTGTAAGAGTGAGTGATACTATTTCATTGTTCTAATCGTAATAAATTAACGTGGATTCGGTCATATAAGTTGTCAGTTGGACTCCAAGTGTTTAAAGTATTAACTTCCCATTTCACCAGTATTGTCATCATTTTTTATTATTATTTACTTTCACATTTCTAGTGTATTTCAATCATTTGTACTTATCAACTAAACTATACTACTACTAATAATACTATTATTATTAGTATTACATAATGAATAATGTTTATTATGCAATATGTTATTGTTTTCCAGTTATTAATTTAATTTTTTTTTAATATACATTATAAACTAGGATCTACATTCATACTTTGAATATCGTGGTTATCCAATTAATAGATATGAAATTGTTCGTATTCATCCTAATCTATGTCTTTCATCGATGCATCAATCAATTTCTCTGACAGTTGCCGGTCTATGCACCAAAGATACTTTGTTTATACAAGAACGTTAAAAGTCTTTAATGTTGTATAGAAATTATTCTATGGTTAATTTTGTAATCAGTATATACATATATATATATAGTAGTGTTCTAACATATCTTTGGCATTTCTAACCTTATTGTAATACTACTGCTCTTGCTAATTGAATTTAATCTTTTTGTATTGATCTGGAATTGTAACCACTGATATTATAACCATAGGATAACTGTAAATGTAAAATAGCTATTCCTTTCAAACAACATTTTCATTTAGATGATATGGTTGTACTTCTTACCCTTCTTCTTGTTCCTTTTCCTCGTCTTCTAAAAATTAATTTTATTTTGCAAATTTTTTTTATATATCAAAATGTGACATATGGTTTTCTTTTCTTTCACAAAGTGATTTTCATTCATTGTTAAATGTACCATTTGTGTTGTTTAATTACTGTATGATTGTTTTTTTTGTTATTCTTATTTCTATCTCTATGATTGTCATTATTGATCATATACTTTATTTAGGATCATCGGTTCAATGAAAATGAAATTTGGATGAGATGTCCATAGAGATATATGATTTTTCATATTTATTCAATTGATAATAGCAATAATAATAATTATTATTATTGTTACTACAACCTAAACTGAACTCTTTATATATATATGTATATATATATATATATATATATATATATATATATATATATATATATATATATATATATATATATATATATATACATACCAGTTGGTCAATGTGTCTTTCGATTGCTTTACTGTTGGAGAGTCCCCCACCGCGTTCAATATTCCAATGTCATGTTGTCATTATTATATATAAGTTTGTGAAATGAAAATATGATTAGGAGGAATGTTACTGTTTACTTATATGTACACATTTCAATTTGTCGATAAATATAAACTCCTGTCATCGTTAAGAAATATAGTTATATTGAAAAAAAACAAACAAGAATATGTGTTCTCTTTAATTTACAATGGATATTAAACATTTCATGTTGTTGTTGTTGTTGTTGTGTTATTTTACCTTTATGGTTCAGTATGTGTGTATGCATGTATGTTGTTGTTTTTCAATTTGTTATCTGAGGTGAAGTTTTGTTTTATGATAAAGTCTTACTAATGTTTATTTTATTTATCAGTAATTGTTAAATATTAGCGTTTGTTAATAAGACAGGGTGAACAATTTTTAAAGTGTTTTTTTTTTTCTTCTTCATATTGTATTATCCTGTATAAATTTTTGTAAATAATTGTGCAATGTTTACAAGTAAAGGGTTTACAACATAATTTTTTCGATCAATATAGGTTACTTATATGTCAATGTTGACCAGATTACCTTGACAATAGATTTTAGAATGTGCATTTCATCCTATTTAAAACTGATCAATTGGATGTAATTTCATATTAGTATCTATGTTAACAATCTTCTAAGTTCAAGAGGCTATTTTATAGTTATACAAATGTTCAAGCAAATAAAGTACATTTGTTTGCTTAAACTGAAATCATTGAAATTTATAATCACTTTTCACCTATTCAATTAAATTATTCTATTTCTTTTGTTATCGTTTCAACTAAATTTTATTCTAGTATTTTGTACTACGTAATGATAAAGCTTTAATGAAAAAGAAAACAACAACAACTTGAAAGTATCAAAAGTGTAATATCAGAATAGCATTCACATAAACTAAGTTGAGTATATAAATCTTTGTCCAAATGCCCTGGTACGACCGAGAGTGGGGAGAGTCCGCTCTCCCTCTCGAAATACTCTCACACGGCCACGCATATACAGCCTCTGCCAGGGAAGTCCTACTCACTGCATTCTCGTAGCGAGGGTGTTGTTTACGAAAATAAGAGGACGAAAAGCGAATGTCTGGCGCTTTAACCGGATTCCAAACCAATGGTGCACATGTGCTCCAGTATCCTGCGGGAACAAATGGCGTATGAACCAATTGTTGGTCACCGGCTTCCATGGGACTGCATCTCCTCACGATGCTCCATTGCCTTATGGATCAGACCTTCAGGTCGAAGGCTTGGGGTGTGGCCTCCTAAGAAAACCACCTTTTTCGGTTTGGGCACCCGGTCAGTATCACAGCCCTCACAAATATCGAATGAGATTTGTGTGGCGCATATGTATTTGGTGCTTCCTTGTCCCAATATCTATGTGTTAAAATAAATAAATAAAACAGTGAATACCATTTAGATTACGGTAATAATTCAATGATTCTTTCTTACAGTTAACAAAAAAAGTTTACCTAAATGTATACATTGTTTTATCATTTTGAAAAGAGAAAAAGCAAACATTCTAGCAGAATAGCATTAATTCATTTTATTCCATTTGGTTCTCATCAACTGCTTATAACCTGTTATATTTAAAAGCCGCATTTAAATAATGGTTGTAAATAATTTACATGAAAGAGTTTGGTTGGAAGTTATGCTGAAGATATATTCGTATAGTATAGAAAGGGTTTAAATAAATTCAATAGATTGAATATTGTAAATATATATTCCTTATGTGAAAGAACATTTTACAAGATTGATTGTGACAACAGTTCAAACGGCTAGAAACAAGTAATTACATAATGAATAAATATTGATAGGAATCTAGTGAGTAGAGTTTAGTTGATAAAATAAGATTATTAATTTGAAAGATAGTTGAAATAAAACTCATACTATTCTACTAGAATCTTTGTTCTTGCTCTTCTCGTCAATCTGTCGTTTATTATTTTTCTTTGTTAAGTCACTAAGTCGGTATATTTCTGTAGTCTGTTCTATTGTCATGAATATCATTTCCATTTGTTTTTCTTGTATAGTTGAAAAGTCTAGTCTCTGACAAATAGTCTTGTACTTTCTATTTAATTTATAAACATAACACGAAACAACATTTTAATTTATTATTATTAATATTCATGTATTTTCAATATTTTTATTAATTACAGATCATTACATAATATCAACGAAGATTACTCAATATAAATAACATAGAACAAGTATACATATTTATATCTTATGTCAACATCACAAGGATTTATAAAAACTGTTATGGTATTATTAGAAAGTACTAGTGGTTCAGGACATTGTATAGTTGGTTTTCGACCACGTTTATCTACTAATCGTAAAGAGAAAATAGCATTTGATCCACTTGTTCAACAAAATGTTTTATATCGTGAATTACGCAAAATACGTTCATTGAAAAAAGCAGAAAGTTAAACTATATATGTATATCTATTAGATAAATACAATGTATAGTAATTCTTTATTTTATTATAAATAAATAAATGTTCACTTCATTATTTCTTTTCTTTTCACTTACATTATTTTAATCAATCTATTGTTTTTGATATTGTTTGTTTTCAATGAATGACTGTAATGATTGCAATGTTGACTAGTGTTGAGGCTGGTTGGAAGAAAGTTAGGGGCGGCTAAACCAAAACGTGGCATCAGTGCTTGAAGTCACTAACTTCTAGTCCATGTTGATTGGATTCAGACTACTTGGTTGGGGTCCTCACGACAATCGTAACCAATGTTTGGAGAATCGATCACAATGACTTCGGTGTATACACTCTTTGTCTTCCTTTAAACTATGAGATTAAAGTTGCTTCATATCTTTCTTTCTTCCTGTAATATGTCCTTATACACAATCTTTCTTTTATATATTACCACCACTGAATTAACTACTTTTATGAATTTTGTGTTCATCTTGTTGTGCTAATGAAGTATGGCAACTTGGATTAATGCACATATACGCCTGGTCTTACATTGTAGCTGACTGACTGTAATTGTTAATTATTTTTAACTTCGATTACATTTAGGGTTTACAGTATTTTTTACTTTTAAATTATTAAGAATCCTCTTATATGAACGCAAATAAATAGGAATTCTAATAGACCAGACAGTAGAAGACATAAAATGACATTTCAACGTTGATAATTTACTTGCCAACTGGAGATAGGGAAAATGGTACTTTCAGGATTCGTGTATATTCTAGACAGAAATCGAAAATTAAAATAAAACAACTCCATGTAGGTAGTAACAACAAGTGACTCCATTCTGGATCAAACCTAGAGCTTTTCTGTCTCACTTTGAACACTATTCCTTTATGTTATCGGTCACATTTTGAATTCAGTCAGTTTATGATATAGCAATATCCCCTCATCTGTGTCTAATGAGTTATTGTTTTATTTAGAACTAATGAAAAAAATGTTTTGTAGCTTCGGAAATGACCGTTATCTCTATCAGTTACATAACTATCTCCATCTTACATTTCTTGGTCGACGAAATATATTGATATGGGATTTGTACAAGAATTTTGTCATCTCAATTCTATGATAGTGTTTCATTAGCAACTGTTGATGATTCAGTGTTTCACTCTCGACTTGATGGACACCACAAATCACTAATAAAACGGAAGTTTTTTTTTAGCTTAAGTTGGTCATCTCATTTGTAGAATAAAACTAAAATCTCTTAAAATTCCATACTTGTTTCAAAAATAACAATAAAATTATATCTGCTTTATTGTATAGAATAAAATATAGATTTGGACTTGATTATTTAATCACTTACTTAAAGTGAAAACTTTTTTTTACCCTAATCTTTGCAGAAATAGGATACCATAACGGATAGATTCCCCTCTCTGTGCTTATATATTCCGATTTTGTTTTTTAATATAAGATATGTCTTTTTATTCTGTTATTTTGTGTATGTGGCTTTGTGATTTGTTGAAAAACAGATTTTCTGTATTTCACTTTAAGCGATGTTTAGTTTCCATTCTCATTTTATTCTTTCCACTTTGTTTAATTAGTAGTTGATATGACAGAATTAAAAAAAGAAGAAGCAAAATTACATTTTTAATTCATTATTCTTGTTCAATATTACTCAATTCAGTGTAATATTCGTTCGATCCACTTCTGTGTGGAGATGAAGTTTGAAACAAGAATGATTCATCATCTGTATATAATCTTAATGCTATTTGATACAAAACTTTAATTATGCGTCTTTCTAGGTGTGGAATGTATATATAGTAGGTAGTAGTGATATTCAAAACCAGTGTTTCGTCCTAATTGAGACTTGTCAGTTGAGTGCGCTTGGTATATATTATCCAACTTTAACAAAAGCATGTAACTAAATAGGAATTTTGAGTCAATGAATGCAATACATTTATACCAGATAGATATTGATCAACTGCCAACGAGTGAATAGAGGCCTATAAACTTAAATTCTATTCATATATACCAATAAATAATGGACGTGATAAATGTAATTTATTTTTAACAACATGAAAACATTAACATTTACTCAACATAGTTCTTGGATCAGTTTTTTTATTTGCTTTTAAACTACTTAAAAATTTGAATCATTTAAGTAGTCTGTTCAAAATACATTATTGTAATGACTGATCGAATTGATTAATTAATCTATTGTGAAAAAATATTTTTGTAAATATTAATTTTTCCCGTTATTTTTACAGTGAAATCTCTATTTATTTCAATGATAGAGTTCATGAGTCAGTTAAAACTAGATCACCATGGAAAACCTGTAAGCACTGGACGGCCGTTTCGTCTTATTCTGAGACTCCTCGGCAGTGTGCATTCACGATCCCGCCTCGTGAGATTCGAACCCAGGACCTATCAGTCTCGCGCGCGAGCGCCTAACCACTGGATGGGGAGCGATCGTGGATGCGCACTGCTGAGGAGTCCAAAAATTGAACGAAACGGCCGTACAATGCTTCCAGGTTTTCCATGGTGGTCTAGCGTCAACTAACTCATGATCTCAACCATTGAAATTACTATCATATCCACAAAACCCCTTCTGATATTAATCTTTATTTGTTTATTTGAAAAAATTTGTAGTGCACCAATGAAATCCTGTTGGCAATGATTATTTGTTCATTGTGTTATTAATAATAATATTCTTTTACTGGATGCCAATTTTTTGGCGTAATTCTATAATATATCTTCATGAACTCCAATACATTGACATCAACGGGGAATCGTTCCTTTACATCTATTAATTTTACAACAACAATAACCTGTACTGCTATTCATACAACGACTGTAACAACAACGAAAACAAATGTCACTAATATTCCTACAGCCATTACCAATACTTCTTCGTGTACCACCACCACTACTAGCATTAATAATAATAATAATGCAACAACGAATACAATTTTGAGCAAATTAACCGATCGTGCCACTTATTTTGCTGTTGTTTCTGATACTTGTGCATTCAATCGTAATTTATGCAAAACTCGTTATTCTCGATTACCATTTTTGGATTTAGCAACTCATATTTCTCAACGACCAGCTCCATGGTTATATCATACAAACAGGGAATATTTAAGAGGTAAGCTAATTATCTTTACTGTTGTATGTAGTCTTTCGAATAAATACACGAACTGAGATCCAGTCTGAGTTTTCTCTGTTCAGAGCATCCTTAAAAGTCTTCAGAAGTCAGACTATATAATCAAATGTTGTCGTGACCTTGGATTATCATTCCAGTCCTCACTGAAATGCCTTGATCCAATTAAAAACGTCTGTTCTCTTCATTATCTCACCTCCATGTACAGTGATCACTTGATTTTCATTGGAAACTTACAATAAGTTTGACCTCTGACGACTTTCGAAGCTGTTTTGAGCAATAGAAACTGGTGCAAAACAAGTGTATCATCAAAAATGTCCGACATTTTAAAGTGGGCACAGTTGAGGTACTCTAGAATGGTGTTCAATAAACTCATAATATCGATTCGCCTATTTATTGAACATACTGTGTTGACCTAAGTTATTCTTTTTAATATACTTTCTCTGTATATAGGCTTGCATCGTTTTATTCCAATTGATTTATTTACAGAATCACCATCCAAAGATCCTCATGTTTATTTACGTTTTCCTCGTTATCGTTGGCATTTGGACTACCAGTCACCCCATAAGAAGCGTAAGACAGCTAATCAAAAACTTTGGTGTACGTTACAGAATGGATTGAAAGCTCTAGGAGTTTCATCTGACTTAGGTAAATTTTGCTATTATTGCTGTTTTCTGGATAAATGTCATGGAAAGTCATTTGCATGTTCTATTATTGTTTTGAAGCAAATTTGATGTATTAAATCATTGGTTGGTTGTGTTTAATATCAATCAACAAGTATGATATTATTAATTGATAATAGAGATTTATCGGACTCAACTCCGAATGTCAATAATGGGGATTTTCAAATGTTTATAAATACCGATCAGTTGAACAACTTGATGGTTATCTGGACTCAATAAATCAGTGAATAACATGTCATCATTTGTAACGATACTCACTGAGTTTAAGTCTAGTGTGAATGTCAACTATATAGATGCAGGTGTATTCAGATGACTAATTTGAAGTTGTGCAAAATGCATATCTTGTATTTCACTGCTAGCTACAATCCAATAGATTTATTGACTGTTTTCTGCTCCATTTCTATAGTACATATAATTCCGTTTTGATCTGTCGCGTTTCAGTTTTTTCTGTATAATCTATGGGTTACCTGCAACTGAACATTATTAAAATTACCAAACAACTTAATTTAGACAGTTATTGGAGATTTAGATGAACTGGAAAGCTGTTTCATTCTAGTATAGGACTTAATGACAGTGAGTATACACTATTTCTCCACTGACGATCAAACTTAGGACCTACGACTTCGCCCACAAACACAATTTTTGAGCCGGTATCTAGCGGTGTACATGTTTAACTTTGTACAGAACAATTGTTTTGCTATTTTCTGGTACAGATACGCTTTACTAATATAATAACCATTGAAATTGTACAAAAATGGTGTGGATAATAGGTTATTATTTGAATTATACTGTTAATTGGCTAGTCAGAGTTAACTTCAGTTATCCAATACCGAATGTCGTTTGTTGAATAAGTAATCTAAAAGCAACATTTAAATGCTATTCTGAAGCCTCAAGAAGTCGATTCTCAAGACGATAAATAAAACGAGTAAACATATGTTTTCCTGTTTCACTGGCAGCATCATGGAAATAACATGAATTTTTTTATCACGTTCACAGACTTAGGTTTGACAGTTAGTTTACTACTACTCGGATGCCTTAACATAAGTATTTGATGTAGGCCTCAAAAAATCGATATTTATAACTAGTCTATCGATATACCTATATATATAATTATATAACACGATTGTTATACAGTTTATTTCTGTTTTCTTCCAACCTGTTTAGTTCCTGTTGTTACACGAAAAGCTTATGCTATATCTGGTCTCTCATTACCATCAAGTTTAGCTAACTACTTGGATGTTATAAATCCT